CTTTGAGGTGTTCAAATTTCATCCTTCAAAGACCAGTTCAATTAATTTCTCCTGTAGGAAGACAAACTCCACAAATACAAAAGATCTCTGCCCACTGAAACTGAGAAACACTTACTCTATCTTTGTCATTTCATCAAATATGTTCTTGTGACAAGTCTTATGACACTGTCTCTGGTACTGTACTTATTCTTTCTCCCCAACCTTTGTACTCTCCAATACTTTATGACTTCTTCAATGGCTTCTAGGAAGTATCCCTTTTAACTGCTGAATGAATGAATTTACAGCAAAGTGTTTCAGGATTCTGTCTTGCTCTGTTCTATGTTATACTCCCAATCAGGGCTCTATACTCCAGGAAATAGTAAATTTCTGCTTTTCAAATCCAACTAAAACCTTGTTTGAGCTAGTAACAATGGACCATGCCCTAACTCTTGAAAATCAAAGTCATTATTATTTAAGTATTAAACCGTCTGACCTCATTCTTACCTGAAAAGAAAGGTCGTAGATGTGTTTATGGAGAATTAGGAGATCACCTTCAGGAAATCCAAATATTTACATTTAAGAGAAAACTCAAGCATCATACATCAGAAAATAAGACACAGAACATTTCACTTTAGGATGATGTACTTAAAAGATGTTATTCACAAACTGAGGCTCGCCAGTGGCATAGTGGTTAAGTTCTTGCACTCCATTTCGGCGGCTTGGGATTTGCCAGTTCAGATCCTGGGCACAGACCTAGACACCGCTCATCAAGCCACGCTGTGGCGGCATCCCACATAGAAAACAGAGGAAGATTGGTACAGACGGTAGTTCAGCAACAATCTTCCTCAAGCAAAAAGAGGAAGACTGGCAATAGATATTAGCTCAGGGCCAATCTTCCTCACCAAGAAAAAGGAAAGATGTCATTCACAAATACATTATCCGTCTTGTAATTCCATCATGAGGAACATCAACTTGCCAAAATATGGCCTGGTATTGTGCAACAAGTCTCCTATTTCTTCTTATAAAATATACTGGCAAAGATCAACAAACCCACACTGCTACAACGAAACCCATCCCCACATTCCATGGCTTCCAGGCAATTCCATAAATACAGGGTCATAAAAAGACAGTCTGCAAACTCCTGTAGCCAGCAGTCCATTTTAAGGATCGGAAATTGCAGACAATGACATGTGATCAGGCAGTTACAGCAATGTGAGGATCTTTCTAAAAGTTTGCAGGAACTACCAATCTTATCTTAGAAATCCACCTTCTAAAAAAGTATGCAATATAGGTGACGAACAAATTGGAATGAAATGTTAAAATTTTATAGTTTGTCTACTTTAAGATGCAGTCATAGTCGCATATTCATATGCTAATAACAAAATCTCAAGAAAACAGAATGTTCAAGTCGCAGCCAATGACTTATTTATCTCAAATACATTTGCTATCGCAGAGTTCCAATGTTATAAAGGAACATAAATAGTCCTTTGGAATTCAACATAATACCTGACCAGAGGAAAAACTGAATACTTTTGAACTCTTAAATATAAACATGCAGGTTCCTAGCTAAGCACAAACTTGTGTTTTTCTTTTCTTTTCTAATTCAGACAGACAGTAAGCAAAAAAAGAACTGCTACGTTTCCTACAATTATGAGGGACTTCATGTTTCAAGTCTCTAAATCATTTTTTTAATTTTATAATAATAGTATTGCAAAAGATAACAACTGAGAGAATACTATGTGCCAGACCTTGCAAAGAATTTCATATACATTATTAAAATAAGAGAATCACTGAATTACATGTTTTAAGGCATGCTTTCAAGTTTTAATTGCTTCTTGATACTATTAATTAAATAATCTGGTGACTACTGAAATATCCCAATAATTTTACATAATTAAGGCAGAATAAATACAACCAGAGAACTAATTAAGATGAGGTATAACATTAATAATCTTACTACACCAATATAAATCAGTTATTAAGCACACATCTTTATTAGGCAACGTTACCAGGCATGTTTAAACTGAACCACACAAGGGGTTAAAAATAACTACAATGAAAGGCCAACAGCCTAGCAGCACAGTTGGGCCAACATTCCCTTCTCTCCTCCCCCTCCCCTTCCCACCCTCTCCAGCCCAGAATGAATTGCATGCCCCACTGCACAAGGCCCAAAAAGGTCACAGGAGAGGGCCGAGACTTTTGTAAGAGAACAGAAATAACTCAGCAGCTTTGTTACCGTAGTCTCTTTTAATCAGTATGTTCAAAATCCTTTAATTAGCACTCTGTCTACACAAGGAAAGCATTTCTTCTGTGCCAGGGGAGGGCACACATGTATGTACACAGTGTTCTGTTGTATCAGCACCACAACATGGAGCGAGCGCCTCAAACTGTCTGCCAGGAAACTGAAGCACAGAAAACTTTTTTAAAGGCAAGGCACCACAAAATTTACATATTTCATTTGCATTTGGATTACCAAACAACAAAGCGACCATTAAGTTTGTTTCATTTAGGTGTCAATTTGTTTCTGGGCTTTTTGTTTTTAAGCAAAAGTGGAAGTAATTTAAACTAAACAATAACTGTCTTTAATCCATTATCATAAAGTAGGATATTCAGACTTAATATAAAATAATGTTAACAGAACATAAAAACAGACAATATTCAAATATTTTTCCTTTCCTCATAATAGCTCTTCAGCAGGAGAAAAAAAAACCCGGCCTTGCTCAAACAATAATAAATCACAAGGCACATTTTCACATGGATACTTTACATTTAAAATTTCATCCAACCACAAAAAGTCCTAAAAGTTGCAGGGTGGATTATGTATATGGATTTCCTTGTAAAATCTGATTAACCAGAATCAAGACAGAAATTAGCAATAAATTAAAGATAACTAAAAGTCCACAGCCAAGAAACAAGGAAAACTTCACTAGTAAACTGGGATTTCCAGTATTTTCATAGAGATATGTAAGTGTTACAAATTTATTTTTAATTTTTCAAAATCAAGTTGGATACATACAGTGTAAGAAGCAATGTATATATATATATATATATATGTATTTACACATATACAATTATAACAAAACCATAACCTTCTAAATATCTGATTAGAGAAATAATCTACCCAAATTTAGGAGGAAGTTTATTATTAGGGAGGCAGCATAGCGTCATGGCTTGAAAGCCACCTCTTCCACATCAGCCGTGTGAGCTCACAGCATAGTCCGGACAACAGGAATGACACCACTATTTCGCAGGTTGGCAGGAGAGCTAAGAGATGATACGTGCAAGGTACTGGCAAAAATCCAAAAGTTTGCTGGTAAGGCTGTGGGAGAGGTGGGGTAGGGCCCTGGGGGTTGATATTTTCCTGCATTGCACAAAAGTGTAAATCAGCACAACGTATCAAAATTTTATATATACACAGAAAATCATGTATATATGGTATCCACTACAGCACTGTTTGCAATACCAACACTGGAAACAAATATAAATGCCCTTCAATAGAGGATTGGTTAAATAAATGTAACTTCTCTACAAGAAAATTCTTTTTTTTTTTTTTTTTAAACATTGGGGGCCGGCCCCGTGACCGAGTGGTTACGTTCGAGGGCTCCGCTGTGGCGGCCCAGGGTTCGGATCCTGGGCGCGGACATGGCACTGCTCCTCAGGTCACGTTGAGGCAGTGCCCCATGTGCCACAACTAGAAGGACCCACAACTAAGATATGCAACTATGTATGGGGGGGGGGGGCAGGGGGGGCGGGGTTTGGGGAGATAAAGCAGAAAAAAGAAAGATTGGCAACAGTTGTTAGCTCAGGTGCCAATCTTTAAAAAAATAAAAAAATAAACATTGGCACCTGAGCTAACAACTGTTGCCAATCTTCTTTTTTTTTCCTGCTTTTTCTATTTCCTCCCCAAATACCCCCAGTACATAGTTGTATATTTTAGTTGTGGGTCCCTCTAGTTGTGGCATGTGGGACGCCACCTCAACATGGCCTAATGAGCAGTGCTATGTCCACGCCCAGGATCCCAACCCTGAGCCACCAAAGCGGAGGGCGTGAACTTAACCACTAGGCCATGGGGCCGGCCCCAGAAAATTCTATACAGTTGTTAAAAAAATAAATAAAATAAAACTCTTTATATATTAATAGGGAAAGTTCTCCACGGCACTTGTTGAGAAAAAAGTAAGGTGTGGAACAGTGCGTACGATATGCTACCATATAAGTAAAATGAGTAGATACTCATATTTATTCGAATATATTAAAAAAATCCTCTGAAAAGTTTACAAGTAATTAATAGCAATAATTACCCACTGATGATGAAACTGAACCAGTGCCTGACACATCGTCAAGCCTCAACAAACAAAAGCTGTAATTACTCCCCTCATCGGTATCATCATCTCATGAAAACAGATCCTTAAAATATATACACAGAATACAGTCAAACTAAATGCATACTGAGGTAAACAGCCAAATCTCAATTATTCATAGGCTGCCTATCTAGCCGGAGATCCAAGCCCTTCAATTCCTCTTCAAAGGGAAGTAGCTTTGGGCCATTTTACTGTTGGCTATCACCTTCACCAGAGTGAGGTGAGGAAATAACACCACAAACAGTCATTTTACTCCATATTGATCAACAGTGTTTAATAAACAGCTTTGAGCCGAAAGGGACCATGAAAATCCCCTAGTGCAACCTTCTAACATTACGTAGGAAGAAACTAAGGCCCAGAGAATTCCACAAACTGGTGGCAGTTCAAAGATTTGGAGTCTGCTCTAGTGTGAAATGCTGTCCACTTTATTATTAATAAGATGAAGGGAAACTGAAAATAAACTTAATTGAAATCAATTATCCTTGCTAAATTCCCTCCCAGCACCATCGTTTATTACAGATAACTAAGTGTGCTGAGATCAAATCCTAGAAGCAATTGTAATAAGCAGAGTACAGGTCCAGAGAATTCAACAACTCAGCCCTGAAGTTTCCAGGACTAAGCAGTGAATGAACATCTGTAACAAAATCTGTAAAGTTTGCTTACACTAGAGATTGTCAGAGGCATGTTGAAATCTTTGCCACCTTGCAGCCGGAAACCCCAAGGAGCTGGGCCAACCAAGGACACGCTGTAGTTGCTCATGATTCTAATGGCTCAAAGTCCAATCCCAGAAAATGAGAGACTGTGAAAGAAAATCAGACGGTTAACAAAAATGTTTATTTGAAACTCTATTACATATTGAAACGTATTTAATATAAACCCAACTAAATGATGTTCAGTATTTCGTTTTGGGGGTATAAGAGGAAATACAGCACAAACACATATTAAGTTCTCATTTCAGTCTAAGAAAAGGAATCTGTGAGCTAACATACAATTTCTAAATTCAAGCCAATTTCCAGAGTCTAAAAATTCCATATCAGAATTATATTTCTAGATACTTGATCAGTTTTGCAACTTGCTGCGATCCAATCTGTGGCTTCCTGCAATACAAACTTTAACTCGAAGCACTTTACAACACTTCGTTATATATATAAAAAACAATAAGATTCTATTTCAGTTTTAACTGAAAATGATTTTCCCTTCCCTCTACCTCATGCATTCTTTTGCCTGCAGTTGGCAAGAGTCCTTCAATGTCACTTACTTACCCTCTAAGTTACTCTAACATATGAAAAGGACTGCACGTTCATAGACTCTCATTCACACTTTCCAAACACGAAATTCTTTAAAATGAGATGTTTTTTAATGCACAAAACTATTCCCTCTATCCTAAATTACAATTTGTCTTTCCTCTTATATGGACATGGCATTTTCCACACTGAAAGTAATATTTACTTTTCCTTCAGTCAGGCAATGATAGGCAATACTCCAGCAAGGTGAGATTTCAGTCAGAACTGCTTTCTGCTGCCTACACACATCAGGCAAGAGAGAGAGTGTGTAGTGAGCACACGGTGAACAAAAGTGACTAACCATGGTAGGAGCACAGGGTTAATCTTAACACATGACAGGGAACTGGAGCTTTAGAAAAGAACCGACACTTCAGTGGTCCTTTTTCTGTGTTTTGCTGTAAGTGTGTTCATAATGACTCTCACAATAGTACTTTTATATAATAAAAAACTAAAGGAAAAAAAGTGTGACTCAAGAGTTTGGTATTGGTTGTTATGGTGGCTAGATGTGGATGGGAGAAATTGGTAGGAATGGAGATTTTCTAAAATGTAATACTAAGAAACATACCATTTCCCTCCTTTAAAATATTTGAAATATAACAGATGTATAATTTAATAAGTTTAAAACCATTTTTTCTAAAAAAGCTGTTTAAGATATACTTCCTTGGAAAATCTGCACTGTTCAACCAAATCATCAGCTTTTATTATGTCTTAAAATATTTTTCCATTTTTTTCAAAATTTCTATCCCATCCTACCAAACTAAAAGTGGCAGTGTAGTTATTCAAACCAGTGTATTAAAGGCAAACATTCCATCTTCTCATAAGGGGAAAATGAGGCAAAACTTTCAAATAAGTCCAGTTCTTAAAGAAAGTTAAATCAGCAGAAATCTGCACGAGATCTACCTAGAAGCTAAATGAGCTTTTCCGCTGGCATGGAGGTACCCTGAGCTACTGGGCAATAATAACATTACTTCAGGGCTGATGGAACAGGCACCAAGCACTAAAAAGACCCAAAGGCCAAGCCAGAAGTCAAACTGCTAGACACATATGAAAAACCAGTAGTAGGGAGGCAAGGAGGAACCACAAAATTAAATTGCTTTCCTGCTATAATAAGGGAGGATTTTCATAGACCCAGTGCAGGAGGACAGTTTTGATATTGGCACAGGATACAAATCAGAAGCATGTACAGCCAACAGACTTCACAGGCTGCCTGCCCCTCCTTTTTTAATCTTTAACTTGTGTCAAGAGGAGACTATGAAAGTTAGGCTCAACTTCCTCTGGCCCCACTGTTCCCTACAAGAAAATGTATTTAATTTATATATCAACCCACAGCACATGCAACTTCCCTTTACTTGCGAGTTCCCTTCCAGACTTCTCCCATTGGTTATTAAATTTTCTAGCACTGGCAAGGTCACAGCCACACTACAAAACCAGTATCATTTCATTCCTAGTCAGTGAGGTTTTATTTCTAGTATTCTCCCTCAGCTAGCTTCATTTGCCTTAAAATATTCCGATCCTTAAGCAACAGTACATTATCAGCCTTTTCCAGGTTTCCTCCATCTAGTTATTAGTGCCCAAACTCCTCCTAAAATACCAAGCAGGCAGGAAATAGTGAGCAGCCTATTCTGCTTTCAAACACGTGGAAAATGTTGGAATTTCTGTATAGCTCTGGATTTTCTTTCAGGGAAAGTCTAAATAATGTCTTTGCTCTAGGACTTGGGAAGGAAGCTTGGTAACGCCCACACTTCTATCCCAACTTCTTTAATGGGTGGGAAGGGGAAAGTAGGACCACTCAAAGTGACAAGAAGGGCTTGAAATTCACAAGCACTATCTGGAGAGTCTCTTTTTCCCTAGACTGAGAGAGGATGGAGGAAGGGCTGAAGAACGAAAGGCCAGAGGCACAGGATGAAAGCAGCCGCCGGGACAGTTTCCCAGCAGAGGTTCACGCCTCGCCCTGTTTGCCAAATAAGGCTCCCGAGCGGGCTGTTTCCGCGGCGGGCGGGCTCCGACGTCCGCACGGTCAGGAGGCGGCCCGGGGGAAGGACCTGGCGCTCACACTCCAGACCTGCCCTGGCCAGCGCAGCCACGAATGTTCTTTCCAAGCTCTGCCCGGTCCATACGCCCTTCCTTTTTCCACTTATTGTCAAACGCACTGAAGGCACCGTCTTAGAAAAGCCCCAAGAAGTACGCAAGTATTAATAAATCTGGCGATCACGACAGATTTGTTTTTTTAAACCAGCTTTATTTCAGGACACGGAGAAGTTTTCCCCAAACAGGTTACACAATCGTAAATATCGGGGAGGAAATAGACGCTTCTCAGCGTGAAAGTAAACAAAAAATAACACGCCTTTCTCCCCCGTTCGGTCCCGCTGCCTCCCCACACCCCCGGGAGATGCGCGCAGGACGCGGCGGACCCGAGCCCCGGCGGGGGCGCCCGGCCGCGGGCCGTGCGGGGGTGCCCGGGAGCCCTCCGCGTCGCTGACTCCGCCGCGCGCGCCCGGCCGCCCGGGACGGGGACTTCCAGGGCTCGCCCGCCCCCGGGCGCTCCTCTTCGCGCGCCGCCCTCCCACCTCCGCCGCTCGGCGCCCAGAAAGCACCTGAAGCGCAGCTCCGCCCGAGGCGCGCCCCTCCGCCTCCCGAGCGCGGCTTCCCTCCACGCGCCCGGCGCCCGCTTCCTTCCCTCCTCCCTGCGGGAGACCGGCGACGCGCATCCCCGGCCGCCAGCCACTCACCTCGGCGCGGCGCGGCGCTGCCTCCGCCTCAGACGAGCGCTGACAAGTGACTCGCGGTGCGTGCGCTGTCCCCACGGCCCGCGGGAACTTCCGCCTCCTGGCGCCCTCCGGCCCCGCCCCCGGCCGGACACGCCCCCTCCGCTCCCGGCCACGCCCCCAGCCTGGCAGGGTTGCCCCGAGCGGGCGGAATCGGCTGCCGGGGAGCTGGTGCGCGGGCCTGCTAGGGCGAGCTGAAGGCGAGGCGCCGCGGAAAACAGGGGCGCTCCCGAGTTTCGGTGGGAGTAGGCTTAGGGCATTTGGAGCAGTACCTGGCAAAGGTTTGCTGCACGTGTCTGCTTTGGAGTGGACGCATTTGTCCCTCCAGAAACTTTGAATTGGCAAGCAGTTTCTCTAGCTAAAAATAGAAGGGGGTTTGGGATCAATCCCTATCTGCAAGTTCAGCGGCTACTGCCTGGTTCTTTGAGAGAGCTTATTTACGTGCCCTGAGAAGTGCAGACCCTGAAGTCTGTGGGTCAGGAAGGTGAAAACCGGTAACCCTAATAGCTAGAAGTTAAATCCTGTGATCACACCAGAAGGCAGTGATAGAGTAGCGGCCAAAAGTGATTCAACCACTATGCAACCTCAGCTTATTTTCTAAGTCCGAATCAATAGCCCACTTTCCAGTTTCCACAAAGTTGCTTGATTTAGCCCAAGGAATTTATTCACAAGCAAACTTGAATAATGTTCAGTAAACACACGGAAAGTATCTTGTTGACTGTTATAAACTGTAAATTGGCTAATAAAATGTGAAAAACACAAGTCTTAACTAAGGGACATGTAATGCAAGGATGAACTTCGTGGGGTCCTTGAATCCCCTACAAGTGCAAACAAGATTCTAGAGGAGCAGCGCCGGAACTGCTCTGCCAAAGCCGACGCACCGGCTGGGGCGGCGACTGCGCGTCTGAAATGTGGCTACCGCGACGGAAGCGCTGAATTTTTTGATTTATACAATTCCAGTTAATTTGCATTTTAAAACTGAAGCACAGTAAAAATTAACGTTAAATACAATTTACTGCTTGGCTTGGACTACATTTCACATTACCATTGAAAATTTAGTTCCCAAAGTGAGATATGATGGAAGCGTAAAAATGCACACTGGATTTTGAAGATTTATTATGAAAAATATGATATAAAATACCTCATTAATAATTTTTATATTGATTACATGTTGAAACGGTAAGATTTTTATATTTGGCTAAAATACGTTAAATTAATTTTGCCTTTTTAATCTGATGCTAAAAAATTTTAAATTACCTGTGTGACTCGCATTATATCTTCACTGGATGGCACTTCTCCATAGCTTTCATCACATTCTCCAAAAGATTATGTTGGAGGAAAAGGTTTCCTAGTGTGAGAGTTCATTTACAGAGTTCTTTAATATATTTTATCATGTTTGACATCTCACCTCAAAATTAAATAAATAATAATAATAGTGGCCATTTTCAAATAACTGCCATGTGCTAGACAATGTGGTAATCCTTACAATAATTTTATAAGACGAATGTCTTCCCCATTTACAGTTAAGTAAATTCACGTTGCAAGAGACGACAGCTTGTGACAGCTCCGCAAGACCATGGCTGGAGTTACCCTGTGAGGGTCCCATCTCTGCTCCTCCTCATCTGTCTGCTGCTGCTACAGTTAAATTGAGCCTGGATCAACAAAGGTTGACTAAAGACATGGAGAACTACAGGCAGCATTTGGAAATATCATCTCGAGGTGATGAGGAAGAATTGAGCAGGGGCAGTGTTGCCTACCTTTGGAAATTTAATTTTAGCCTACAGATGCTGGCCTACTCTCAGTCCTCCTCCTCCTCCCCCAGCTGAAAGCCTAGGGTAGAGGGTGAATGAGCCAGATTAAGGTAAGATGCGAAGACTGATATCTATCCGTTTCCCCCGAAGAACCAACTGCATCAGAATGACATTTGTGGCTGGTTAACATTGCATTTTCCCGGACCTCCCCCAGATCCAGGATCTTTGCAAGTGGGCCCCAGGAATCTGCCTTTTTAACGAATACTCCCTACCCACCTCCAGGTAATTATTAAACTGAAATGCTTAAAAACCAATCCCCCAGAAATACCTCTATATCCCCAATTTACTGTGTATTGTGCTTAGGTGAGAACCATGCATCTCAGACAGCAGCAACTTATCTCAGTTTCTTCATCTTAAAAGAATTGATAATTAGAAATAAGCTTTTGTGGTTGTCATGAGGAGTAGAGACAATAGATATAAAGCACCTTGCAACATGCCTGGCGCTGAGTAATTGTTAAATAAATGGTGGCCACATGAAACTTTCCTAACCAATTGATTAGATTTATTTATGTGTCATAAAAGACAAGTAGAAAACCTTACCTTCATTATGCATGTACTATGTTCTTGGTGATTTATGTACATTATCTTATTTAATTGTTACAACCATATAGAGTAGGTATTTTTTCAGAGGATGAAACAAAAACTTGAAAATTAAGAAATATAACCAAGGACACACAACTAATTAGTAATATAAGTAGAGCAGAGGGTCTGCCTCCAAAACCATGTCCTTTTCATCTCAACACACTTCTCCTATGTAGATTCAATAAGCCGCCCAGCTTAAAGACCAAAGAAAGCTATAAAAAGCTATAGCAACTAACACTGTTGAGGGCCATAGAGGTGCAACCTGCAGCAAATTATGGAAATTAAATAGACACTGAGTTATTTGTCTATGAAAGAGGATGAAACTCCTGATCCACTTCCGGCGAGGCATCTGCCTTAACTTGTTTTAGAATGACTTGCCACGGAACCATTCTGACTCCGCTTCTCCGTCTCCCTCATGACTAACATTTATGAAATGGTTGGCCATGGTCTGAAAGACAGTCTAGCAGGAAGATAACTGATACATTGGGAAGTCAGACCAGTGTCTTAGCCTCATTAACTCTATAGGCTAAGCAATGAGGCACTCGCCACAAAGGAAACTGTATTAAAAGCTTCACTTTGTCATAACCAGTGCACACAAAGCTAAAGTAGTGGAAAAAATTAGATCAAAAGATGAAGTGATTTAGCGGGAAGAGTTTTAAAGAATATTCCATCTAAACATAGTATTTACCTAAGTGTGCGAATGTTTGCTCTAACATTATCCAATGTATGACTCAGAATCCTCTTGCTGTACTTCAAAAATAACAGAAACTTTAATTACAAGATTGCATGGCTGTGATGAGTTTTACAGTTGCACCCAATAAACTACAAAGTGCCAGCCTTTTAAAAAGTTCCTATATCACTCTAAGTCAATTTGTCTTTTAAGTTAAAATCCTGAAAGGGAAATAAACCACTCATAGGTATTTCATGTTTGAAATCTAATGGAGAGGAGGCATTAACTATTCTCATACCTAAAGAAACACCTGGTAATCTAGGGAGAAAGAGCTAGAAGGCATAGTGTCATTCTAAAACTTCCTAAGGAGTCCTGGGAGGAGGGCCGGGACCACAGCAGGCACAGAAAGCGTGGAAAGGAATAAATGGATGAGAACGACTCCGCGAACAAATCCATGAAGACTGGGCCACTGAGCAAACGTGTGATTGAGGAAGAAGTTAAAAAGAAGTTTAAACTTCTTAAAACTAGCTTCAAGCTTTCAAGTCTGGGTTTGGGGGGTGATATTAATAACTGATATTGAAGGCAGAGGAGCACGTTTTGAAGGGACTATGCATTTCACCAGCAATCTCCAGTAAGCGAAAAAAAAGCCAGTTGGGAAGTGAGGGGTATGAATAAGAAGGGTTGATACTAAGGGCACTGAACAAAGCACTGGGGAGCTTCAAGTTTGAGATTTCAGAAGGCGAGGAGTATTCCTCATGATAAGATCAAGGTTTAGCCAGCCTGATGTCGTACTCAGATTACGTCGTTTCTTTGAGAAGTCCAGTGGGAGGTTGACAGGATAAAGAAGACATGATTTTGGAGGTGAGATAGAAACAAAATATGTAGGTCAACAATTGAAAAAGCTTGTTGTATGAAGAAACATGTTATTTGAAGAAAGTCAAGGAAAGAAGACATGAGTCTGAGGCACATCTTCCCGATGAGTTGGTTGTGCCAAGAAATTAATGTCCTCAGGCTGGGAGGTCCAGCAGGCTGGGAAGAAGCGTCATCCATTTTCCTCGGTTTCCACATTTGCCTTGACTTAAAAAGAGTTGAGAAGCACTGGGCTAGGAAACCAAAAAGATAAATTAAAAAACTGTCGGCTTTCCATGTACTCATAACGTATGGCACATTTGCACTACATGAGTTAGGAAAAAGTGAAGAAGGAAGATTTGGAATGCTCAGTGTGAGAGTGCTCCCTTTGATAGACCTTACTTACAACAGGTCCCAGGTCGTTTTGGAAAATACACTGGGTGCACACATCTATACAGGGTCCCTTTGTTAAATTATCTTCAATTAAATACTTTTGAACGTACCATCTGTTTTCTCACAGGACCCTGACTGATACGTTATTGATGATTCTTTTTAGCATCGACACCTTGGCATAAATCATTAAAATGTTATGTGCACATTTATTGAGCATCTCCCATGCCGTAAACTCCGTCGATATGTTTTTAAAGGCAAATTGATTTTTTGGAAAAATATTGGATTTTTGCTTTTTGGGTTTTTAAAATCAATGACTTTTTACATCAGGCATTTTTGGGTTTTTAGAAGCATTTCCATCAGATTAAAGTGTTGTGGTATAACCTACCATCACTTAGAATCCAGAAGTAAATGTTATCTTTCCACATTGTCAACTTTCTAATCAATAAAAGAGCTTGAAACAATTGTGATTATTCTGAATCACAAATAAAATACTTATTAAATCTAGATTTCTCTATGTATACATAAAGTATTAACCCTGGTTATCTTTGGGAGAAGGGATTAGAAGGTCATTAATTTTTTACTTCATAAAGTCAAGTCTATATTAAAGTCTATATTTATATAAGTAAAGTCTATATTTCTGATTTTTAGAGAATATTTATTACATGTATAATGAGAATAGAGCAACACAGATTTGTTTTTTAAAAAACCACATGAATTGACTAAATTCATCATGATAATATAAACCTATCTTAGCCCCGAATTAATTTTAAATTAATT